GGGGGGGGGGGGGGTGGTCGGGGGTTTTTGCATATGCTTAGAGGAGAACAAACCAGAATTCTTCTTTGGGCAAAAAATTCCCCCTTGGCCATCTTGGAAAGAGCAGCTCTACTTCCAGGTGGATTATAAAGCCCCCAGCCTCGACCAGCGACACCACCTGGGGCTGACTGAAATACACAGCCCTGCAAACCAGCAGCATTTCTGCTTCGAGATGGGCTGCCCAGAGGCCAGCCCGGCTAGCTGGCTCTGGGAGTGCGGGGAGAGAAGCCTGGCAGGGAGTTCAAGCATCTCATTTATAGACCGAACGCTGTCCCTTGAGGAAGGCAGAATATCCGTGAAAGCACAGTTTGAGCTCCCCAGGGGGGAAAGCTGGTGAAAGCTTTAGTGCAGGGATACTTGCTGAGAAATGAGGGTCCTGTGGAGAACGCAGACCCACTCCATTTTACTGCTTACATCGAGTGCCCAATACTTTGTGTTTGTAAGAAAGTAATGTAAGAGTAAGCTATGCTTTTTTTTAAAAAAAAAAAAAAAAAAAAAAAAATACACATAATTTTGTAAGGACACCACACCCTGAACATGTTGTTCCTCTAACATTTACAGTGATCGCAAGGGACTGGGCAGTAAGCCGATGCCAATGAATCTGCCATCACTTCTGTAGCAGCAGGATGAGATGGGAAGGTCTGAAAGCCCACATCCGAGCTGTACTCACTACAGCCCAGCCTGCTGCTTTTCTCCTTGGAGAAGGGAGGGAACGGCCGCCCGGAGCAGTGAACTCTGCCCAGCCTGCCAAATCCTGCCACCTGCACATGCGCCAGAGCAGCTCTCAGGCCACAAGGGAGGAAGGGAGGGAGAGGAAGGGATGGCAGCTCACAGTTTCCTGAACGTATGTGACCCACTGCCCCACCACAGCAAAGTGTGGGGTTTTTCCAGAGAACTTAAACTACCTGAGTCAGCTAAACCGAGAACCCTACGACAGACCATGTTCAGTAATGCCTCTTTGGTGACTATTCCTAATGAAATCAACACACTGGTTGGGGGCTTAGCAAATACACTCGCACCAAGGACTGCAATTCTCACTTACCTTTGGTTATGGGCTGCCTGGACCACAGGGAAAATCCACGTCACCCCCCACCCTCCAACAACCAGCAATGTGCAGAACAGGGTGGGGAGAAGCACACTGTAGCTTGTTACTGCCAGCACTAGCTGTAAGGCAGTCCCCACCCAGAAATAAGGGCACATGAGGAACAACCTGTGTTTTTGCCATCTCTTCAGGCGACTCTCCTCTTTCCTGCCATGTCCTACATCTAAAGGCACGTCCTTGCCCGAGAGCAGTAACTGCTCAGTGACAATTATATCGCTCAGTATGGATATGAGCCACTTGCTCTAGCTCTTGCTAAACTGAAGTCACTCATCTCCTAAATAGCAGCAATTACTAAGTATGATACTTTTCAAAGGAGAAGAAAAGCTGAGCACTTCTTTCCTTTCCATTTTTGGAACTGTACTGTAATCTGTGCAGCTACAGAGCTGCAGCTGACACCACAGCACCCTTTGCAATGACTGGACTAAGAAGAAAAAAATACCCATTGAATTTCTGAAGTATCCGTCCCGACATTCTCCTCTCCCCTATGCCCACAGCATCTGTAATCTTGCTTCCAAATCCTGAAACACAACAGAAACCTTTCCTAGCTTAAAATCTTCTTTACTTAAGTGCCTGAACTTTTAATTATGCTTTGCTGATACAGTTTAAAGATATATGGAAATTCTGCTAGATGTCCATGGCTAGTGGATCAACTGAGGAACAATTCAATCTCAGGGATTTGAGCCTGGCTAGTTACCCTCCTCCCTCATGCACACCTACTGATACAATTACAGATTTAACTACACCAGACTAGACTTTATATGCTGCCGAACAGAACAGCATGAAGCTCTGAAATAAGATTTCATCTTTCTCTTTTCCTTTGTGCAGCCTTACTTCTTACAGGAAGAATGAGCCTGCAGATGAGCTGAAAAGTACTTCTTTTCTAAAGCACGTGCCTTTTTTCTACTGTCCAGTGAGCAGAAAATAGAATAAATTACATACACATAATAGCAAGACACATGAGGACTAGGTGGGTTTTTTGTTGTTTCTTGCGGTTATTATCCTGGGCACCTTTAGACGAATACGTAATTGGAATAGAAATCTTTACTAGGAGAACAAAATTATGATACAATGTGCTGTAAGCAGAGCAGTCAAGTTTTAGTGCATTTTCAATTCAGTTATTAACATCTGAATAAGTGCTTTCAGAAGCATTAAACAGACTGGTGCTTTCTTCAGTGTCACTTTTGGTTGAGAACAGAAATTTTTTTAAGGAACTCCTGAATTCCCATTCCAGACCATTCCTTTTAGTGCACACTGAAAAGCTCCAGCCAATACTTGCATCCAAATGTACCAGCAGCAAAGTAATTTTAAGGTAATTTAAAGTGAGTACTTGAAGCACTCGTATACCTTACACATTGTTTAAATGCACCCTAAAACCCAAATATTTCATAATCACTAACAATAATTTGGTAGAAAGCATCCTGAAATCAGCTGCTATTTCCTATGTGTATGAGATATTAGTAACAGTAACTGACAGTTAATGACAACATAATAATTCAAGTGTGTTGACAATTACTGAACTGAACGCACTTCTGAGAAATGTAAATGCCAGAGGAGGGCAGCTTACAGCCCCATAACTAATGTGTGTGCCCTGGATTCTGACCATCAGCTTTGCTTATTTCAGTTTTGTGACCTAAACCTCCCTCCCCTACCAGAAAGAAAGAAAAAACCCAAACAAGAAATGTCTTACTTGTTCTGCCTTCTCTGGTGGTTTTCTATCCGCCTGCAAAAATTGGCGGTTTTCTCTTGCCAGCTTCTGGACCAGCTCAATCCGTCCGATGTCATCTCTTCCCTGAAGCTTGCACAAAACTCCTGCCTTAAGGGTGGGAGAAAGAGCAAACAGATACTTAAATCCACAATCCCAGGACATGACACCACCACAAATTTCAACCTTAAAAGAAACGCATCTGTTTTCTCATATTTGCAGTACTTCGGTGTCGCTTGCTGAACACAAACAAGTTGCCGCTGCGTGGGAAACAAGTGGAGAGGAGCTGAGATGCATCAGAATCTCCGAATGTATCTACTTTGGAGGAACGAAGGCACGGCTAACTAAATCAACTGCTCCTCTGAGTGTGACTATCAGATACACTGTGTTTTATTTGTTCCTGTCAGCCTGTTTCCTGTTACATAAGAGAACAAGAGCAAGAGGTTAAAAACTCATGGGAAAGTTAGCCAGGAACAGCCCTGGAAAAAGAATGAAGAGCAACACAAGGCACTCCTAAAAATAACAGGCTACAATTCCCCCAGCTCCCACTCCAACTATTTTTCATGTCTGCAAGCCTCAAGAGTTAAAAGACAGTTGCGCCACATTTATTTATTCTGCAAACAAAAAATCAATATCTCCTGATTTTGTTCAGGGAAGAAAATGAGATTTCCTTTAAAAACTGTGTTAGAACTATTTTTTTGGCTAATATTCTGCCAGTTATTCAAGCTATGCTGATACTCTTTTGTCAAAACATTCAGCACTGGTTGTTTTATAAAAATGCCATATATAAAAAGACAGATTCATGCTCGCACACGGGCATACCAGGACCAAAGTTAGGTGATGAGGGCTGAACTGCTCCCTGTAAAGTCAGTGGCTAATATCACTGCCCATGATTTGGTCATGGATATAGCATCTGCATAACTGAGACCTGTCTCAATGATACCACATGGCTTTTATTAGCCCAGGTGTTTCCTAATGGGAGCAGCATATGCCTTGGAAGGGGCAGGCATGTGGCATGGCTATGGTATTGCTATATTACTTCAAAGGCAATCAGCAAATAAACTTTTTTCCTCACTTTCTCCACCCTTTTCACTATTCATCCTGAGTTTAACTGAATCAGCATCTACTCCAAAATTCACAAAACATCTCGAGTCAGGACCAAAAGTCAGGGATGCCCTGACCTCTAACCTGTAGTGCCATGCAGGCTCCAATCCTTTGGCCTTGAGAAACTCCTGCCCATGATAGCTGAAGGTGTGAGAGTGCCCCCCCAAACCATCCTACAGTCCACTGGTTTCTCTAAGGAGGAGGGAAATGGCAGTTAAGGTTTCTCCAGCTGAGGATGAAAACAAATCCACTTTCTGAATAAGTGCTTTACTGCTGATGGTAAAAAAGAGGTTCCACGACCAAGTCCAAAGAATCACCCTTACCAAATGATCTGAAAGAAATTTTAACATGCCTACATTCCTCCAGTCTGGATGAAGGAATCTCCTTACAAGTCTGCATCAGGCACTTGTGTTCTGGAGAAGGAACAAATTTCAGATACAGCCTGTGCTTTGCATGCCCTACGCTTAGTCCCCAGCCTCCTGAGGAACCCAGCTTTCTCACATAACTAACTTACACACTAGTTTGAAGGTCAGAAATCCACGGAAAAAATAAGGAAATGCAGCACCTATACTGATGATCCTTACATTTTCTATGAGATTACTCCTGATCTTCTAAATCAAGGACATAGATTTATAAATGAGTTCTGACACACTGTTACCACCTGCAGATCAGGAGTGAGACTGATTTTATCAAATGTGGAAGAAAATACTGAACTAGTTGTCCAGGCTCATTTAATCAATAGAGGAAAAGAGGTACATAAGAAGAGAATCTTATTTTTACTTTATAGTAGACATTTTTAAAATGGTCAGATTAGTTGTGTCCTAAAATTTGCATTTCTCCAGTAATCTGGGAACCCAGACAATCATCACAGACTTGGCTGAGACCTGATATCTGTACTTCACAACACTTTGATGGGTTAGGGACATCAACTAGGGCCAAACCTGCCTATTTACTGGCTTTGGGATGCTTCTAGGAGAGAGTATAACATCTGTGCACTGTAATCCTCCCAGGCTAAGGACAACTCAAAGCCTGTTAGGGCTTTGGGACTATGAAGTTTTAGTCTCTCTGAATCTGGGATCTTAGTACTGTGGAGGCACTTTTCACCCCTTCATATTGCACCCACATAAGTCAGACCATGACCTACGAGTGGCATAGATGGTTATAAGTCCCTGTACTTCAAACGTCAGATGGACATCGACAGAAACACAGTGTTCACTCTGCTGAACAAATACTTATTGATCTTCAGTGCATGAAGTAAAGCCCAATGGTTAAAACCACTTATGTTAAGATGAGAAAGGGGGACTTCAGTTCTGGGGTAACAGTTGGCTTCAGTGTGTTCTAGTGGAAGAAACATTCCAGAGAAAGACAACTTTTTGAACATATGGGCCTTGCTCTCTTTCACCCCTTGACCTCTGCCTGCATTCAGACAGAGCATATTATTGCTTTCTGCATAGATAAGCACCCCAGGGAAGAAGTAATTCTAGATACAAGCCCATTAGCCCTGCCACAAATAGGGTCTGTATTCAAATTGGCAATTTCATTAAAGAATCATATTGTCCCATTTCAAATAACTAGCAAGGAGAAATCTTACATTTTAACAAGTCCCTTCCTTCCCCAACTACTCTTTAAAGTTTTGCAGAGAACGTGAAAAATATATTTATTTTATTGGGTTTCCAGAGGATAAAAGATCAACTAAAAAATTTCTAGGAGGGCTAAGGTATTGTCAAGTTAATTGTACATGCTTGGCTCTGGGAGTAATGAATACACTTGAAATACAAAAAGCTAAACATGTTTTTTCATAATAAAGAAGAAAAATATGAATCCCTCACTTTTCATTCTGATTTCAATTATGCTGACTTTCCATGATAAATCTTTCTGCTAAATACTTACAGGAAAGCATCCAGATCAACTAATTAATTAATTGATGACAGCTTCCAAAAGCTGCTTGGGAAGATGTTGATAGAGTCTCCTATTACTGGTCATTTTTACTTGTCAATATAAATTTAATTTTCAAGCAATACCTTTGAAGCTGTTAAACGAAAGGGTAAAGGCAAGTCACCCTACTCGCAAAGCGCAATTTTGATTTGTATTTTGTGCAGGCACACATCCTCCAAAATCCTGCATGCCCAGATATTGGTGCTTAGTCCTCTAACTCATGTACATCAACAGAGATACAAGTACTAACTTATGTGAAGGTGAAAATCACAAAGTTGCATATTTTAATTGGCTTTAATTTAATGAATGATAAAAGAATGTAGGAGCTTTATAGTAAGGCTTTACTACCATTCATGGCACAAAATTACTACAATTAAAGGTGTTTATGCAATATTTGAAATGAAATAAAGACTTTTAATGGGAAGGAAAGTAAATTAGTCACTAAGGAGGTTGGAAAAGCAAAGATGCTGACAACACATTTTGTGTTTCAGCACATCCATTGGAAAAATATTCCCTCTGCAAAGGCCATAAATGAATATGCTAGCAGTGACACAGAGGTGAATTAAGACAGCCTTAGGCACACATGATGGGATTTTTATTTACAGTGTTTACAGCATGCTTGCTTTTAAAAATCCCTGTACTTAATTTTTTCCATTCTTCTACTAGTTTTGTCAACTAACTCCAATGTAAATCAAGTCTACATCCCACAGAGCAGTGTTTAGAGCACGCTCCACACCCTTTCAACTCTGCTAACAAAAGCGATTTGTGGTGGTTTGGGTTTTTTTCACTTCACTTCTGTCTCCGTGTCTGGTGAAAACTATAATTATTACCGGCTTCATCTTTGATCAACCTGAAAACTTAAAACCATAGGTCACTGCCTCAAAAGATCATTTACTTTGCTCCAGTCACATGCACAGTCTCACTAAAGTGAAAAAAAAAAAAATCATTCACACCCTTAAACCAAACTATATTCAGTGTTTGCAGGATGTTGTTTTTATGGCACTGAGAAACAAATTGGAACAACAGCTGCTTTGATAACACTCCTACTCTCCTCCCAGTTGGGCACTTGAACACTTTTGTTAACTGCTCACTTAATAATTGTTTCATTTTAAATGTGCTTCAAATTCTTTCAAATTTTAGAAGCTGGTTTCCAGCCAAATAAAAGCTGGGCAAATCAATATCCCAATAATAAATTCTTATGGGCTTTTATAATCTGCCCATGTAATCTTATTAGCTGGCTACTTGGGAGCTTTGAGCATACATGTTGTTGTAGTCTTTTTTTTTACATTTCAGATAGAAATGTGGACAAGCATTTTCAAATAATAATATTAATGAAATCTACAACAATCAAATAGAACTAAGCATATAGGAAACCCAAAAAAGAAAAAAGAAAGCCAGTTTTTTTTGTGCAGTGAGGTCAGTATTTACTCCTGGGTCTTTTTTATAGTGTGTAATGCACAGCTGAGCTCTAGAAGTCTGATCCTCATCTCCACACTGATGTAAATTAGGAATCAGAGTCAGGTAACAAAATTCTCACACATTAAGGCTCATACTACACTTTTTTTTTTTTAATAGATTTGAAATTTTATACAATTAAGAAAAGAGCAGGCCATTTCCAAACATTTTGCTTGGGCATGACTCTGAAGAGTATGCTAGAAAAGCCCAGATGCACGCTGATGCAGCAGGCATATCCGCGTGGTCCCCAGCTCTTCTGCCTGCACTCTCCACGTCTCTGCCATGGCCCAAGACTGCTACTGAAGCTGCTACAGCCCCTCCTGGGCTCACTGTGGTGGAGACAGCCCCTATCTTTAGAAAGATATAGCTACTACTAACTTGGCTACTTGGCTACATAGTTTGTACCCCTTCAGCTAGGCTTGCTCATAGGCATCAGTGCAAATCCTGTCTCACACACAGTGTTTTAGCAGGCAAGGTGTTAGGAGATAAATCAGAGACAGGAACTGAAAGTTGCATGTGTAGGAAGGAGAAAAGGTGGCAACTGGTAGGGAACATCTGACTTGCAAGAGGAATAAAAGGAAAAAAAACAGTCAAGATGAGGAAAAATCAATTTTAAATTAAAAGCAGTAATCAGTACAAATACAATGAGCAATATAGTTACACTTGCACAGTTTGAATGCATGAACTGAATGATTGAATGAACTGGAGATTAATCAAAAAAGATTCACAGAATTAAAAAGGGTAAGCAATTCCACAATAAAATACTCTAAAAGGCAGTTAAGTTTCTTCTGAGCAGTATCTAGAAGTATGCTTTGGTTGTAAATGAGGGCAGTTAGGGAAGGAAAGAAAAAGGTTGTTGCTTACACTCGAGTGACTAATAAGTATCTTCATTTCATTGCATGTCTACTTACAGTGATTAAAATTCAATCAAAATGTCACATGCCCTTGCCTCCTAAAATACATCTCATTTTATTTTCACATCTGGTATATGCTATGTGTATTATCTAAAAAGAGCAGAGAGATAGTTGAAGAATGCTTTCCAATTGCAACATCATGGGATTAATTCCCAGAGTAATCATCAATCTTACTCTAAAACAGTCACATAAGACAAGATCCAGAAGACTTTCTCCTTCCTACAGGCTCCCTGCACAGAACATCGAGGAACAGCCATTTCCCAAAGCTATTGAAAGCAGATCCTTCAACTTGTAGATCTGAAAAAGTTCTCAAGACACCATCAGTCTTGCACATTTACCTGAGCATCAGAGGTATCCTTGAGCTCTTCTAGTCCTCTTATTTCTTGACTGCTGTTTTCTTCATTTTGATGAATTGCTAAAATAAGAAAGAGGGAATGTATTGGGAGCAGGCAGGTTTAAATCACGAGAAGCAGCAAAGCAGCATGGCCTGGTTTAGATCAAATAGGATGACCATTCAAGAAACCTCATTCCAAGTTTAGCTTTCTGGTTAACTGTTTGAGTGGCTTTGGACAAATCCTAAAAGGTATACTTTATTGGCTTTGGACAAATCCTAAATAAGGTATACCATACTTTTCCCAAGCAGTAAAATGCAGTACTAAATAGTTATATTCCTGCTACTGTTAGTCCTGATAAAACAGTAGCATTTAAGGAAACTCCCCTTTTCCATACAATATAACAAGATCTGATGACTCATAAAGAATAAAAAAAAACAAACAAAAAAAAAACCAGATAGCCCTTTACTTTCATTATATTACAGAATCCAATTCAGACTAAACAAAATAAGCAGATTTTATCCCTCATCTCAGCCTTGGAAAATTCTTTGTAAGTAAAGTGATCTCAATCTTAACAAACACCACCATTATCCATTATCCATGAAAGTCATCTCCAGAAATAAATGGTAGCAAATGATCTATTGAACGTTATTCGATGCTGGCACAATAAGAGAAATCAGTAACTTAAGTCAATTAACATTGCTTAAGACCAGTGAGTTTTGCCAGATTTTAAAGAAAAAAGGTTTGGATGAAACATGTAAGCTCTGAACGAGTGGAAAACAGAGTCATTAATTTACCTAGCTAAGGAAACAAGGACGACTTTTGAACAGACACATCAGACTTCTGTAGTAAACAGCTATATCTATAGGTAGTTTTACTAGCTAGAGCCCAAGATACTCTTCCAGTCAACATGCCTGCCTGCTGTATTTTAGTGGGACATTAAGCCCTCAGCCATTCTGAAATGTGACACATGGCAGGGTAAGAGGTTCAGACCCAGTGAAACACGTAAGAAGTGACTTTACCTTACAACACACTCATTTACTTACAAGCACCATACTCAAATATCATCGATCCTGTGCACACATTGAATGATTTGCCAGTGTAGCCATAGCAGTTGTGACAACAAAAGCATCCTTGAAGCAGCAGAGCTGGCAAATCGATCCATTTCCTGAACCACACCAGTCTCGTGGGTTTGATGGATGGGCAGGAGCATTCAGCTTGTGCACTTCCTCCTGTCCACCTCCTCCTCTCTCCTTCAACCCTGGTCATCAGGCTGCACCTGAACTGCCACAGCTCACAGGACTGTGGTTTAAGACAAGTATCATCAGTCCCATTTTGCCTTAAAACTATGTCTGTGAGCTAAGGAAGCCCAGGATTTGACTGATGAACTGATCAGCTATAGAGGCAGCAGTACACCCTCAGCTAAGCTCTCCTCAACCCTCAGCCCAAATCTTCAGACATACAACCATGTTACCACAGCTAAGCTAATACATGTAACGTAAACCATAAGATCTGGCTTGGTGTGTCTTGGGGGGTGCTCTGTGTCTGCTGCAGACAAAAAGCTTTAGGCAGCATCTAGCAACTTAAAAGAAAAGTAACTTTAGGCTGTTCTTGACCTCTAAAATAAAGCATATGGATTTATTTTCTTTTTACTACAGGATTTCTGCTGATATTGCTATGCCATATAGGGTATAATTCTGCCTTCTTCCCCCACAGTTATGCTATTAAAAAAAAGAAGTAATCAAAATGTAATTATAAAAGGGGGAAAAAGTCATCTTGTCAATACAGTTTATTCCATTCAGTGTATTCAGTGATCTCTTTCAATCCATTATCAAAGGAAAACAAAGGTCTGGTATAAATCTTCACTAGTGAGTTTGCTGACATCACTTTACCAGCCAACCTCTGAAATTCAAGGTGAATGCTCGAAACACAGTGTCACTCTATTAACAGGAAGCATGTATAATGGGGGTTGTATCCCAGCAGCATTTAAAGCTAGGCAAAACCAAAACATGCTCCGAACGTTTTGGCATATCTCTGCCTCAGGTGGGAGAAGTTACAACCCCATGAAGCAGCAACCAAAGTGATTGCCTCAACAGCCCTTTGTGGCCCCAGCTTTCTTAGTGCTGGTCAGGGTTTCCCAAGGCAACCTACTCCATCCAACCAGGCTGAGGGCTCTGTGTGGTCCCTTCCCTTGTAATCCACCACGCAGCCTTCTTCCTCAAGAGCTGCCTCTGCCTTATCCTCTTGTACACTTCCACACGTGTGTGACCCCATTCTACCCATGGCTGCTACAGGATACATAAAGCATTCAGGACATCCATTTGCCAAATGCTAGTCAGAACAACTGGCATGCGATGGGAAGGTTACAATAGCAGAAGGCATTAACAAATGCTAAAAAATAGTTGTTTGAGCAATTGCAAATTGCTTACGTCTGGGGCTGTGTTAACAGAAACACAACATTTCCTCAACTGTCCTTTCAATTTTCTGATTTCTCCTAAAATCAATTTGCTGTAGGCACTGATGGGCAAAATATCCCCACAGACACTGTCTGTTAATCACGGCATTTAAAGGAGTGGCACCTTGCTAGTAACAAGACCACGAGTCCAGGTTTAAGTGATTTACATTGATCCGGCCAACTTTTCTGACAAGCCTGAGCAGATGGGCGCTCCACAAACAGCTGTGCCAGGGGAAAAGGTTAGTGGCTGCCAACTGGCTTCTTGTCACCGGCCTCTGTTGCAAATGTCCCCTTCCCTGCCCAGTGCCAGGGCAAGCACACCAGAGCATCTTCAACCAAAGCAAATAGGCAGACCTTCGAGGAGCAGTACACTGTTGCTAACCTGGCTGGGCTGGCAGATTAGCGAGGGGATGGTATCTGGACAGGGAGCTAGTGACAAGCAGAAAACAACCAGGGCTGAGGGCACTAATATCTTTTACCTGGTACAAAGGGAAAGAGAAAGAGGGTGTGTGTCCACAACCTCAATGTATACAGGTATCCTTGGGTGTTAACAATTTTAGCATGAGCAATTTTAAAGATGATTAAAAAAACGACCTCAGTTTAGATGTACCCTAAGTGAACAGCTTAACAAAAAAAAAAAAAAAAAAAAAAAAAAAAAAAAAAAAAAA